AAACAAACAACGCGCTCAGCCGAGTTCCAAGCGGGAATCTGCGTGACGGTGCGATTGATGCATGTTGCGGTCATGCCTTCCACTCAAACTTGAGAAGTGAGCGGCGAGCAGCGGGCTCAATCCTCCAACCCACTCGCAGACTGCAGCCCTAGGTCACATACAGGGCTTCCCAGCGCCAGATCCACATGACCAGCATAGTAGTATCACAGTTTGTCCCTTTTGGACTTGGAAAATGGGTTCACCCTCCTCAAGCACCATCTTAAAATCCCACAAAGGTCGACCTTAAAGCCTCCCCTCCCACGCCTGGCACAACCGGCCACCGGCCAGTCTGTGCCACACCGACTACTCATCCCCAAAGCTCCTGCGCTGGCACAAACAAGAGACGCGCCACAAAACGCAAGGCTTTGGACGCGGCTCCAACACGGAGAGCTCTCTATTTTTGCGAGCGGAAACCATGGCGTTCAAAAAACCCGTTGAAACGCGGCCAAGCTTTGAGAGCCCTTGAGGTCTCGCAAAGCCCAGTGAAACCAAGAGCGACCCGGTGACCCGACCTCCACCTGTTCAAATCGTTTCCAACCAAGCCGCATGCAAATTCCCATGTTTCCTTCTGGCTGCCCCAAGCATCGGAAACCCTCAAGGAGTCAGCTATGGTCCTGTGCTCCAGCTTTCTAACCTTCTGCAGCAGCTCGGACACGCTGTCTTCCAAGCTACTCACGCCTCAGCGCAAAGCGCGAACAAAACGCACAAGAACTGCAATGTTGACAAAGACTCCCAAAACCTGAAATGAAGGATCCCCACGTGCACGGTGGGCTCGTTTTGTAAAATCGGCAGAGCGACTCCTTTGTCGTGGCGGTTGCTGTGACTGACTCGTGGCCCCTCGTCCAAGAGTGTTTCTGCGGGCTTAGGCCAGCACGATCTTCTGTAATGACCTTAGGCGGTGGGGGGGGCGGCGGGGGTTGGCGGGGGTTGGGGGATGGGGCTCCCTGCGTCTGTCACCTCATACAGTCTTTTGAAAAGTTGGGTCAAGGGACGGTTTTTCAGGCAGCTTCCCCATGTTTGATACACGATAAAGTCTCTGACTCAAAGCAGAGCCTCAGACATGCCTTGCCCGCCATGTCTGGTGCCCTGAAAGATCTCTTTGAGTCAGAGGCTGTGACTTGATTCCAATGAGGGCTCAAGAGCATTAAAAAAGAGCAAGAGCAATGCCTAATGTCCCGGAAACTGAGGTCGGGCCTGGTAAAAAGCGAAGCTTCCCTTCGAAAATGGGACACCCCCCAATAGCTTTGTTATAGACGAACCGAAGGTTGATAAATCAACTGGGTTCCCCAACCATGCATCGATGAGGGAGCGCCCGACCAACCAGGCTGAACATGACAAACTGCCATCGGCATGCTAGCTGGAGTGGCCGGGGATACATTCTTTCACACTGTTTGTTTGGCATCTGCGGGAAACTAAGTAGAGAAAGGCCCTTCTTGCCGCGCAATCTGCCGCCCTTCCCTTTAAGGGACCACCTTCCAATGGTGCCCTGACGGCCCCCCATACCTCTGCTGAATCCCGCCATAAAAGACTGATCAGAACTTGGCTGGTATTCTGGCAGTGGGAGGTTGATGTTGGGCAGGAATTCGGAGCAAGCTAGGGCCACAACAATCATTGATTTAGGTGTCCGACCGTGGCACACCGGGGCCCGCTTCAGACATTGAGTGATGTTTTTAGCTAGGCGGCATTGGGCGGCAGTCCTTGAAACAACTTTCCATGAGGGATGCAGAAAGAGGCGAAACTGCTACCCTTGCCCTTTTCAATCCATTTCGAACTGCATGCTCACGGCCCCAAACATGATCCAGCCCGCGCCCCGGTAATTATTCATATTCGTTGGGGATGGCGTCCTTTGGGGCTTTCCACCCACTCGTGCGGGTTTTGACCTTTAAGGATGTTAGACAACCGGTGACCCACACTCTGGGATCTAGGGAGGCAGCGAGCAGGTTCCAGGCGGGGTTGCGATGAGCTTCAAGTAAAGACCCTCTTCTCTTGGTCCGAGGAACAGTTCTCTACTAAGCTCAAGAAAACGAATGTCTGTCGACTTGCTGGCTTTCGGCAAATGAGTTGGAGTGACCAACTAAAACCCTCCGACCCATTTTTCCCTTTAAGGGGAAACCCCCAAAAACCCGGTTCCTTCTCAACCCCGCAACCGGTCACCCCCTACCTCACCGATCGCAAGTGGACCGTGAGGCTCGCCCAAGAGCCTCATTTTACGCCAGGCCGCTGGTCTCACCAGGTAGGTCTGGCCGCCTTGCTCCCCCCCAAAACAAATCGCGCAGGGGTCGAGCGCGACGGTGCGCTTCGGAAATCGTGCCGGGCCGGGGGCCTGCGTTGAAGCCATGGCTTAAACCGATGTGGCGTATATTTTACCACCACTGATATGGTAGCAAAAACCAGCTTTGTGTTTTGCAGCCCCCTGAAAAATGAACAGAACCAAAAAAAAAAAGAACTTGATCCAACAGTGAGTTAAACCATTCTCATCGAGGGTTCCCTCGGGAAACAACGGCCTGGCTGTGACCCTGGCTTCCAGCCCTTTTGCCCCCCAAAAAAAAGGAGTGGGCGAGGGACGGGGCCATCAAAGGCGGGCCTGTGCCGACTTCGCCGGGAAGCCGGCGAAGCCGGAGTTCGGAGTGCCGGCTTCGAAGAACAGAAAGGAAAAGGAACCACCCCTCCCTTTGAAGGAAGGAAAGTGGAGCGGCTTGCTTCCCTGCCCAAGCGGCTTTTTTGGGTATTTTTCGGGGCTCTCCTCAGATCCCCCTGCCGAAGCGAATGACTTTCCTCCGCTTGCTTAAGTCCGAAGCGAATAACACATCTTTCCTGTAGTGATAGATTCCCTTTAAAATCAACACGGGGATGTTTGTTTAAAAAAGGAAGCTTTTAGTGGGTTGGATGGAAACCCACCCGCGAAACCAACTAAAACGCTAAAAAACGCCAAGGGCATGGCGGGGCGCCACCAAGTTCCCAAAGCACCTCTTGATTGCCATTCATTCGGGGCGTGTCTTGTTTTGGGACCACCGCACGGAAAATAGGTGTGTAGGCCTCAGAACCGCAAGACTCCCCCAACAATTGAGGCGGATGTTGCAACTGGCAGCTGGTATCCTCCTCTCTGCCTTCATTGGGCAAATCTCCGTTTTACCCGCAGATCAGTTTATGAGGATAGGCCGCCCTCCTGCTCTTTTAAACTTGTGCCAGTTGATTTCCTTGTGGGGAGCCATTAAAACACAGACTCTTTTCCCGTCCATCTTTTCAACCATCATGTCTAAATCTGCTGCTATGTGTGACTGGCTCCCTTTCAGGGATGCTCCATTACCCGCAAACAACTACCCAAGGAAAAGGGGGTGTCGCCATATAACCACCCATACAAAACCACCGCAATCCTTAAAACACACAAAAAAAAAAAAAACAAAAAAAAAAAAACAAACATTCAGGTTCCCTTGTGGTTTGGAGTGGCTTGGGCCTTTGAACCCCCAACTCTTGGCTTATCCCAAGGACGAGAAAATGACAAAAATAGCAGAAAAAACGCTTGGGGCCACGGAGCACCGCCCCCCGGCCCTCCCGCACCGCCCCCAGCGCCCCGAGAGCGCCCCCAGCGCTCCCAGTGCTCTTCGGCAAGGGGCCGACTTCCGCGCGGCTGTGCTCCTCGCCCTTGGAGGTCAGCAGCTTGTCCTCCTCCGGGCGTTCCTCGGGCGGCGCATAAAACGCGCGGAGGAACCGTCTTCTCAGGAGAGCCCACACGAGCCACACAGAGAATGGTACCAAAAATGGCCGTAATCCCAGAACCGTGCTTCAAGAACTAAGGCGGAGATCCGCAGCTACTTGTGGCTGGGATTGTCCCTTGCTAACCTTCGTCTACCCTAATTTTTGCTTGTGGCTCACACCCCACTTCCCGGGTCGATTGGGCCAGAAAAGCAGAAAAGTCCACACCAACATGGGTCTTCCCAACAAGTTTTAAAGTCCAGGAACTCAGGAAGTGAGGCATAGATGGTTGGGCGCCCCTGTTGTTTCCCGTTAAAACCACCCAAAAATGGGCAGGGACTCAGAATGGGTAGGGCCCAACCAAGAGTTGTTAGTGTCCTTTGCGATTTCTTTAAAACAAAGAAACAACAATCAAAACGGGCAACCCCCCCCCCCATGCGTCCAGTCTTCCCATGAAAAGGACAATTGCTTTAAAACCTAAATAAATGGAATTCCAGAACCCTCCCATCCCCCCGTCCCCAACTTTCCTCGTGCTGACCCTTGGCATTCCAAGACGCTTCAAATTTTAAGGAGTCCGGCACATCGCCCTCCTCGTCGATCCGATTCCTGAGAGGGTTTCGGGTCTGTGCTGTCTTTAGGGTCTCCCTGTTCAAGCTAATCTGGACTGATTGTTGAGCCTCTCCAAAATCCAAGGGAAGAGGCAGGCTGAAGCGAAACTTCCCTGAATGTTGCAGCCTTGCCCTCACCCCCGACAAGAATTGATTGCAACGCCCATTGGTGCCCGCTGTGGCTTATCTAAACTCCAGATCATGAAGCCAGGGCTGTGCCGACTGGATCGATTGAAGTGACATCCTCAGCAATGACCCGCATCTGGAATCTGCTGTTCCATATTTGCCACCCATAGCCCTTTTGAGGCTGGCTGGGGCCGAGTCGGCGGCCCCCCCCTTCACTCGTCTTTGGTTGAGTAATTGAACCTTTTTAGGGCCGCGGGGGGGCGGGGGGTGGTTCAAAGAGAAAACAAAGGAAACCCCCCAAAATTCCAACTCCTTCTTTTGGCACCGGGGGCCCTAAAAACGCCAATATTTGTCCACACACACACCGACCCCACACACAAGTGGGGGGGGGGGAGGTCCAAGCCTGCCGCTCCCTGAACCTCGCTGTTCAACCGAGGCGCTTGCAGGCCCCGCTGACCTGGCAGACGGCCTCCTTGGAGGTGGCCTCCAAGATGTCCACGATGCCCATGAACTCCCCGAAGAGGTGGTACCGCATCATCCCCGTGCCTGCCGAGGTGACCCGAGGCGTTTTGTGGCTTCGTTGTTGTTTTGCTTCATTTTAACGAAGGCCCCCCCTCCCCCCGTTTGATTTGTGTTTTTCTTCGGTCGGGGCTTGGCAAATATTAAGTTTAAGGCTGGCAAAAATCATCCATCAGGTTGTGCAGGCGACTTACCAAAAGGGGGGGTAGATCAGTCCTGGCGATAACATGAAAAGCCAGAAGCCCAGGAGTGAACAATTGTCTTCTTCCGTCATTCTAGCAAAGGGCAAAGATGTAAGATGGTATCATGGCGCTAACCCAGAAAGAACGTCGTTAGGTGCCCAATGACCCCTGTTTGTAGATCAGGGCTCCGACTTGAAGGAAACAATCAAGTCAGAAATTCCCCCGTGATTAATATTGGGGGGGGGGGGTGTGCTAGTCAGGGGTCAGCAAACAAAGCATTGAAGGATGCCGATTTGATTTCCCCAAAGGATTTACCCCCATTCCCAATGTACAATGTCCCGTGCAATTCCTGGTGGTAAAGCGGCATTCTGTCCAAAGGACGTCCCCCCATTTCCCATCATTCCAAATGTCCCCCAGAAAATGGACGGAAGGTTGAGGCAGGAAACCAAAGACCGCCGAGGGAGGACATTTCAAGGTGCCAGTGCCAACCTTGACACAGATTGCAGGTGGCGGGGCAGACGCTGGACTTTGAACACATTTAAAAATACACTTTGAACACATTCAAAAACAACAACAAAAGGATGGCAACACAGGCCCACACAGCCAACCCCAATAGCGGCTCGGAAGGAGCCGAGCGCTGATTGAAGGGGTGATAAAGGATTAAAGGGGTTCACCTCCACAACGAACCCGCGCCTACGATGCCACCAACACACTCTCCGTGATGCACGCCTCAGAAATTGGTTGGAGATGGCTGGTGGGGGGGGAAGACTCTAAGTGAGCGGTTCCAAACTAATCCCTTGACAAGGGCCCTTCTTTTCGACCCCCCTAAGGCGCACTCCCAATGATAAACTCCGGTGCACTGGCACGGCTTTTTCACTTTGGACTGACCTTTTCGGGAGCAAATCGGCACCCCCCAAGCTACCAGGAAAAGTTAGAACTCCTTCTTAGAGAGGCTTCTGAGAACTCTGAGAACCTTCTGCCGCGACGGTTTGACCCAGCCCGTATGCTGGCACAGGCAGACGTGTCCTCCAGAGAAACAGAGGCAACTTGAGCCGCCTCTCGCAGATCATAGACGGTCTGATTGGGGCTAATGTTGGGGACCCTATTCTAGGTGCTCCAGTAGAGAGGTTAGAATAAGGGCATCAACTTTTTTTCTGTAGTCTATTTTAGCAGGGGAACCCTCCCGGAGGAGGCGACTGTTCTTTTCTTTTTGTTTGCAAACTGGGCCGCAACTGCGAGGAGAACCATAGCTAGGTCCACCAGCTAGGTGCCCTTTTTATCCGTTTTTTTTTGGTCGGTGGCATCAGCTCCGGGTGGCCAATTTTCTCCCGACGCAATCTCCACATCCCTCCCTTCATGTCCGGTGAGCAGCTGTATGCACGGGGTCTGCCCAAGACCAACCAAAGAATCGAAGGAATCGGAAGAACCGCTTCTTGCCGCAGCGGGCTTTGTGCTTGGGACTGCACCCTTGACCCATCCCAGGGTTGGCCAAAAGCACACTTTGACTCGAAAGTGCGGCAGCATGCCGCAATTCGTACCAAAAACCATCAAAGCCAACTGGGGTCGAAGATAGTAAGGTTCTGAACTATATTTAGGCGACCCTAAAATATAAAACGCGTGCAAAATAGGCGGGTCCCCAAAATGATAGCGTGCTTTTGGCTTCCCTTTACCAACCCCAAAAAGGGTACCGAGCCTCAACAAAACACACGAACAAACAAATGCAAATTGGTACTAAAATGGCCTACCCAGAACCATGTCAGGAATTAACAAGGCGGCTGCACCCATTTATGGTTGGGATACTCGCTTACTAACATTCATCTGCCCGGGGTTTTGAGTGAGCACGTGACTCAACAAAAGGTTTTGGAGGAGACCCAGGCTGCTATGCAGCACAGGGCCCGGTGAAAAATGGAGCATGTGTGTCTATGTGCGCGAGTGAGCGCGTGTGTGTGTGTGTGTCAAAAAATGTGGAAGTGCTTCTGAGCTTTGCGCCCACCCGACATCGGACGTTGGCATCTCGGTACTCTTGCCGCTGGCGAAGGCGGGCCGACCACTTTGCGGTGGCCTCGCCGAGGGCGAGGACTGACTCCACGTGCTTCCCCAAAAGGATATGGAGCAAATTTGGGTTGCGGTTTTCCCGTCCGTCTTTTCATTTTTTCGATTCGGGTTTTGAAGGGAAGCCAAAAGGAAGTTCAGCTTTTTGTGAGGTTGCTCTTGTGAAAGACATTTTAGTATATTTCCTTGAATGCGCAAATGTATGCTGGTCGACCTTAAGGATGTGGCCGACCCAAAAACACCGTATATTTAGTGAGCTCCCCATGTCTGCATTGCAGGTCGATCCCTGTGAAACAACATCGTCCGGATTGATCTGAGGGTCAAGATCGCTGCAAAACCAGTCGCATGATACTTCACCCTTGGTTGACGTTGGAAGGGGGGCAAAAACTCTCAAATTTTAGCAGTTAAGTGGGGGTTTCAACCACTAAACCACAATAAGCAAAAATGCAAAATGTTTCCCAACAACAACCATGCTTTAAACCCAAAAAGCCGGAGACAGGAGCCTCCTTTTGGCCAACCCTCGTGTTTTTGTTGCCTGTTGACAAGGGGGCCACATGCAGACGTTGATTGTTAAACCCCATTTTGCTCGATGGCCTGGGCCTCCGCCACCCAAGTTTCAGATCCATTTGGGGGGGAGGGGGGGGGAGGGGGGTGTTTTCTTTAGGGGACCTTGAAACCACAAAAACCAAGAGGTGCCCTGAATTGAAAAAGGACTTTAGCACCACAACGAAGAAGAGGTGCCCTTCTTTGTGTATCAAAAAAGATCATGCGAACTCTTCGGGTGAAGCGGAACCCAACTCAAATGCCCAATGGCCACAGGAAAAAAAGGCATCCTTTTTTGCTTGGTTGACTGTAAAGTTGAAAAAAGGGAGCACCCCACTGGGCCACTGGGTCAAAGCTCGCGGTGCCCTTACTTGTGCATTTAAAAAAACCTGAGAAAAGAAAAGTCACGGTAAAAAAAAAAACTCTTCGGGTGGTTAGCGGAGCCAACAAGCGCTTCTCGCGCCTGGATCATGGCCATGCCGAACCTCACCACCTGCAGCGCGGAGTTCTTCTCCGTGAGGCAGGTCTCCGCCATGCCGGCGATGTAGGCGTCGCCCACCTGGGCGAAAGGGGCGTCCACATGGGCGCGCGCGCGGGCGTCCGTTTGGCTGTGGGAGGCGGGGTGGGGTGGGGTGGGGTGGTCAGAAATGGACCCCAAAACGGGTCGATGGCTTGCCTGAGCGGTAAATGACTCTGGGTGTGATGATCAAACATAGGGTAACCCCGAAAAATCGGGCAACCCAAATGGGTGGCTCGATCGATAAATGCAGACAAGGACGTTAAACCCTGCGGTCCATATCATGGTGATCCAATTTTGACTCACCCCCGCGTCGAATAACGGGGGTGCCCTTTCAGCAAGTATGGCTTTTAGCTTCGCTCGCTCGCTCGCTTGCTCATTCAATCGCCCACTTCTACGCACGCACAAGCGCTCCCACACTCATCCAGACAGCAAGTTTTTAATTATGCCCCACTCTCGCCCAGAAACCTCGGAAGCATCAAGCTTGCCACAGCCACGCATGTGGAGTCATCCGGTCCTGAACATTTTGAGGCTCATTTTTAGATAGGAACCCGCCAGCCAGAAAGGCGATACAAACCTGCCCAGGAAACCAGAGAGGAGTGGTTGAAAGCAATCCGCTTGCCTGGGGAGGCAAAGGGAAACCCAATTGCAACTAACCCTGGTTGTCTTCTTGCGGGGAGGGGAGGGGATTTATCATTTCCGCAGAGATATGTATTACCAGTGATCCTTGCTTTGCTAGCTGGTCTACCTGCCAATTATTGTGTGTATGCATAAGTATAGCTATGTATACCTAGAGGTATGTGCATAGGTGGTGTATAAATATAAATATAGGTACATGTGTATGTGTAATATGTGTGCCTCTGCGTGTGTGTGTGTGTGTGCCTGTGTGCCTGTGTGAGAACATGTGTTTTTTTCAATGGAGATATCTTCAGTTTCCGTTTCAACACCCAAAACAAGGCACCAAGTCCAACACCCGGATGGGTCCCGCCTCTTTTAAAGGGTGCCATTCAGGTTGCTGACAAAAAGGAAACCAAAAAGAACAGCGAGTAAACGAGAAACCGCCCATCTTTCGGGGGTGAAAAGAAGCCGAGCCGCGGTTTCCACCTTGTAGATCCCAAACTCGTTGGCAAGAACGTCGAACCTAAGCGAGGTTCCTACCCATTGGGGCCGTGAAAATGGGACCTGGAAAGTCGAACAGCGAGCCACGCAGCACATAGCGTACCAAAGTCACCATCCCCCTTATGGCTGCCATTTTGGCCAGAAGAACTCGAGTTTTCTAGACCCAGACCGTTCTAAGACTGAAAAGAAATGAACCAAACGTGGCTACGCCACGCTCACGTGCAAAAGGTGAGTAAAGGGCACGAATAGGCTAGGTGAATTGCCAGCAGAATGATCCTCAAGCCAAACCTGTCATATGGCCTCCAGAAGAACAATAGTTGCGTAGAGGTGTGCAGAACAAGTGAACAATTTGCGTTTTTGTCGGACGACCCTCGCACAGATACACGCACGCGCCTTCCGAAGAGATCGCCCATGAAGCCCACAACCTCCTGAGGCGTCCTGGCAAAAAGATCGAGAACCGATCGGGCGCTGAGTCACCCAATGGTCAGCCCCGTGACTCGCGTTGCGTGTGCCTAGAACACTACTGCTGACCCCATATTAATCAACCCTAATATATTAACAGGGGGTGTCCCTTGGTTCAGTGGGGAAGCGTTACTTTTCGGAGGGCAACACCGCCCCACGCCCCCCCCCCTTTTTTGTGTAGACCGATCAAGGGCCCCTTCTTGGCTTCGCACTTCGCCGCTCCCTTCCCGGCCACGAGCCTTCCGGAGGACAAGGCCGTGAAGCCACAGAGGTCCGACTGTGCGATGGTGGCCTTTTGGTATCGGTCTGGCGCTGGCAGACTGCCCGGCTTGCCTCAGAGAGGCATGGGTCGCCGCTCTTTTTTTTGCTCCGCCTACGCGAGGAAAAGACCACAGAGAAAGGAACAAGACGGGAGAAGAGAAAAGCCGCTTTGGGGCAACCCCTTCCCCCCTCCCCCCCCTTCTCCCCACTGTCCCCACCCTCCCCCCCACTGCCCCCACTGCCCCCACCCACCCACCCACCCACCCACCCACCCACCCACCCACCCACCCACCCACCCACCCACCCACCCACCCACACCCACCCACCCACCCACCCCACCCACCCACCCACCCACCCACCCACCCACCTTAAGTGCCGGACATGTTCGTAGCCTGAGCTGGTTGCAGTCGCAGAACCCGAACCGCAGCTAAGGATTCCCTCGGTTTAACCCAACCCCCAAAAAAGGAACCAGAGACCTTTTGTGGGAACCTGAGCGCTTTTGCGGAAGAACCTCCAGCATCCGGGATCACAGTCACGCGCACACGGTTTGCAAACGGTTAAGGAGGATGAGCCAAGGTTCCGAAGGGCCAGAAATCCTCTGAGTTTCAAAAGAAAACATAGGGCCGGACTGCGAGACCTGTCGACTTGTTGGTCTTAGGCGTCCAGGCCACCACTCCAAGGATTGGGATCGCAGGTACGGCATCAGCCAACTCCACGAATTGGATTTCCTGAAACGGAAGTTGTTTCCCCAAGCCTCCTGAAACGGAAAACACGTGTCCGACGAGGAGCTTCATGAGAACTTCAGCCGGCATCAGCGTGTTCAAGACGTTCTCAATTCTGGCCTGGGTTTTCTTGACCTGCCGAGCTTCGGATTCCTGCATTGGATCTTTGGTTCAGCCGAAGCTCCCAAAACCTAGCGAAAACAATGGCTAGTGGTTACACGGCTCCAGAAAAGCACAGGCAAGCTCGGCTTGGTGACGTTTGGCTTGGTGACGTTCCGGCTTGACTTGGAAAAGCACGCCGCATACAATACATGCGTGGCTTTTTGAGCAAACGGTCCTCGGCCTATTCCGGTACTAAACGCGTCTGCGGAAGTCCTCGCAAATCTTCCCAAAACCACCCCGCCAGGATATTACCCGTTTGGTCCGCCTGTATCTCAATGAAGGGAGGGCCCAATAATGGGAAAACTACAGCAAAATGAAAACCTCAAGCAACTATGGCCGTGAGTCAAAATCCCGTACCCGCAGTGAACATCCCAATCCCCACTAAAATGAGTTCTAAAATGGGTGGTGAATTCACCTACCCCAAAATGAGATCCCATTGGTTTTGACACACGGCCATAAGGTGGAAGTTAAAAGGAAACTAAAAGGACACCAAAAGACTGGTTGTTGCTTTTCTGAAGTTATGAAAGGAAGCTAAAAGGAGGACACGGACACCAAAAAATGATGATTGTATGTGTGTATATATATATATATATCACGGCCAGACGGCTTCCGCGCCTTCTGCTTGGACCGGAACCGCGCCCTGCTGGAGCGCTCCGCCTCGTAGGCCAGGATGCTGGACAGGCAGGCCACACCCACGAAGACGACCTTAGGAACTCCCGACGGAGTTGTTATTTTGATGGTTTCTGGGGGTTATCAAAGTCAGAAAATGGGGTTATTTCCCTTTAACCCACCACTTAGGCAACTCCCGCCCGCAGGTGACCCTCTTGTCAGCGTCCCTCCCATTCAGTACCATAATCAAAACCCGGTACTAAAATGGTCGTAATCCCAGAACCATGCTTCAAGAACTCAGAAGGCGGCCGCAGCTATTTGTGGTTGGGATTGTCCCTTACTATCATTCATCTACATGGGTTTTGATTGTGGCTCAATTGGTGCCTTGGAGCCCCCTGTGCTTTGGTAGAGGGGTTCCTTAACTGCCTGCAAGAACCAAGCGTTTCCCTGTTTCCCATGGGGGGCTGTCGGGGCCCTTTGACCTCCGGAGCCAAGCGGCGCGGCCTGTGCCCGAGACGTAGATGGGCGTCTTGTCTCGCATCCTCGGTGCGGGGGGACTGGTTGCCATGGGTTCAAACAAAGAGAAGCCCTGTACGCTGTGAACCTTGGGGAATACTGAGTAGATGTTCTGGGCGTCTTGCCTTTCCGTGAGTTTCCTGGAACAAGCTGAAGCCAAAGACAAGATTTGACTAGGCTAAAAAAAAAAAAACAGCAACAAGAAGCACTGAAGCGGAAAACCCTGCGTAGAGGAAAGCCAAAGGGAGGCGGGCTGGTGGGGGAGGGTCTTTTTTTAAGTGGACCTCCCCCCAAAATGGCGAATCTCCTTTTGGTCTTCCTTTCAAACCTCAACAAAAAGGGCACCTCAATTAAAACAACACCCTCAAAAAACACACACCCTACAAAAACCCACCCTCAAAAAAAGAAAGAAGAAAAACAAAGAAGAAGAAAAATAAAAGAATAATAAAAAAAAAAAAAAAAAAAAAAAAAAAAAAAAAAAAAAAAAAAAAAACAGATAAAAAAGGACCCTCTCAAAAACCCCCCGCCAACAAGCGTTGGTTCTTCTTCTTTTTTGCATTCCCTGCCCGAGCCACGCCATGAAGAAGATGGCTAGCGGGATGAAGACCAGCGAGCCCAGGAAAGTCAGGGGCTGGCCGTTCATCACCACGAAGAAGGCCACCATGAACACCAGCCTCACACGGGGGCGGCAGCATGCTGCACGGAAAAACAGGCATGTATACCATGTGAATGTTTACCCCCCCCCCAAAAAAAAAAAGAACGAAAAGGGAAAACAACAGAAGAAAGAAAGAGAAAAAACGGGAAACCATGACCGGCGAAAAGAAAAACAAAAACAAAAAACAAGCCCCCGTGATATGCGCATGTATCCCTGGAACCTTCCTACCTTAGACCTGGCCTGCCCCAGGCCACCCCAATCCTTATCTGGGCAAAGACCCTTTAGCTTGCAGCTGTTGGGGAAAAAGACGTGGGGCTGCTGCACGTAAAAACATGTGTATTATGCGTGCGCTTGAAAAACGCGAAAGAGTGGGCACAATGGAAAGGTCTCAGATGGAGGCTTGAATTTGAATCGGTCGCACCCTTTGGACTTCAAAGAAAGACGTTTCTTTGTGTCCGATGTCGGGTTTCACAGTCGCAGAGGGCTCCTCTGCGTCGAGCACCGGCGCGCGGCAAAGCAAGGCTGAACCCTCGCCAGCCGAGCGGCGAGAATTGCTGGTTCATGTACTCCAGAGGGCTCAGCTGCGAGTAGGGTGTCTTCATCCGATGTAGGATCAGCACGTTGTAGGAGAGCCAGATGAGAAGGCCTGGAGTCGGAATCGGAGGCTCGGTGTTTGTACCCCAGTGAACATCCCAATCCCCACTAAAATAAAGCCTAAAATGGGCGGTGAATTCACCTACCCCAAAATGGGATCCCATGAGTTTGGACAACCACAGCCGTGTTGCCCTTTTTGGGAGGGCCCTGAGCAGAGCTCTGTGGCACATGACGCCATACCGAAGGAAGTTCTCCCCGAACCCCGAGTTTTCGAGGCCCATGTTTGAGGAAAGGGCCGGAAGGGCCGGCCGTGGCCCTCCATTTGCGGATACGTCCCTGGAAAAAAGAAAATATTTCCAGTAGTGATAGATTCCCTGTAAAACCATCAGGGGGTAAAAAAACAAAAAAAACAAAAAACAGCCAAATGGAAGTAACCCCTCTACAAGAACCAGGGATCCGTTCAAATCCAAATCCAAACCGCCAATCCAAACCAGGCCAAAAAGGCCAAGGTGCTGATGATGACCATCGACAGCACGAGCGCAATTTGGACCTCGGAGACACAGACTCTGACCTTCCCCGGCTGAGAAATCAAAGAAGCACCTCAGATTGCACCTGGGAAAAGATTCTGTTAGGATTGATTGCACCTCAGATTCAGAAGGTTGGTGCTTTTATATGCCTGTCGGTCAAAACCAATGGGATCCTATTTTGGGGTGGGTGCACCATTTTAGGCTTTATTGTAGTGGGGATTGGGACGTCACGGGCGGGTACGGAATTTTGACCCATGGCCATATGTCTTACGTCTGATTCAGAAGGTTTGCACCAGGCCTTCACAAGAATCGACCCAAAAAAATCGTCCGCTCCGTTCACCCGGCCCTCGCCGGCACTCAGCTCACGGCGTCGGCGGCGTTCTTGCGAAGCCATGGGGACTTGACTTGAAAGCACCAGGCGACGCAAATGAGGAAGACGGCCTCGGTCAAAAGCGCCGAAGGGATCCTTCTCCCCCTAGATGTGTTCCAACCCACCAAAAGGAAGCTAACATGATGACAAAAACAATAGATGTCAAAGTCGCGCAACAAAGGGGAATGTAAGGACACCTGCCCAGAGGCCAAATACACCGGCGGAGCCGGTGGCATACCAAGCCAATTCTACTTTTGCCGGTTGATTCAGGGAGAATATGTCCCGGGTACCTAGGCAGGCACCTAAGGCTCTTTTTTGAGGCTTGCGGCATTTGGGTCTCGGCAACTTTCTTGGTACCTGAAACTTCCCTGGGCTAAGGGAATTCCTCCCTCAGGGCTGGCCTCATTATTCTACCATGCTCAAAGACACACACCCAAGTGGTGAGCTAACGAGAAACAACCGATTCCACGTTCTGACTCTGATAACCCCCGGTCAAATCCATGACCCCCGCAGGATGGATTGAAACTTCCAAGCCTTCCATCCGCCAGAAGCATAGGTGTCCTTTTTGGGAATATAGATGGCCCTGGTAGTTGATTGAACCACCAGGTAAACCAGGGATCGCCATCCATTGTTCGACCAAATCAACCAGAAATGACACCTATGGTCACAAGACCTCATCGCTTGGTTCAGTTGCGGTTCTTTGCGCCGAGCTTCCATCCGCAGGCCCAGGAAGGCGATAAAACGCTTGTCGCCCTTGATGTGGAGCAGGCTGTTGCTTGACTGGTCATCCTCCCAAGCCCTGAAGCAGGCGATCCATGCGGTCCATCGGCAATCGACCCCACCTCAAAGGTTGCTGTTTCTTCCCGCAAGAAATCCCGAGACATCGCCGCCAAACCAGGAAAAAAAAAGAAAAAGACTTCTCTCTCTCTCTCTCTCTCTCTCTCTCTTCCGTTGCGTTCAGAGGGTCCCACTGGATCATGTTTCCTGGTTTAGAGCCGAGAGAAGACCATTAAAGACCGATGCCCCAGTTTAAGAGACAGTCACAAGCTCTCCCTTCGGCCCATTTTCTTGTCGGCCCGCTCACCGCCCCGCCTGATGTGCTCCATGTGCATCACTTCAGCCAAGGTCACGCAGGAGAGGATCAGCGTGAGGAAGTTCATCCGCATGGCGAAGGTTCGGTACACCGACTTCCTGTGCCACCAACCTTGGGCCCCGAAGGACCGAAGAGAGCGAGCTCTAAGCGGGGAATCTATGCGTACTTGCGTGCTTGGGACACAATGCAAACCTGGCATAAGGAGCTTGCGACCTTTTTTTTGAACATCCCGAACCTCCCTAGGCCTTCTTTGCTTTTGGCTTTGGGCTTGAGCAATGCAAAGGCTGAGCGAGCTGCACCACGGACCTTGGCAAGGCGCTGAACCACTCCTTCTCCTCTGCTGGGGTGAACTTGGACTGGTCCTCAGCTCCGCATCGGCCGGGAGCGGTTCAATCCGTCGGCGTCTGTCGATGGAAGGGGGGCATTTTCCAAGAAGCCGACGGTGGGGGGAAGACGGGAAGACCCGCCTGTCAGCTTGCATGATGGTTTGAAACATGGCCGCGAGAGCTGGACAAAATGATTCCACCATTCTGCGACGTCCCTCCCTCGCGCGCCAGAGACTGACAGAACTGTCACAACCGCTGCGGAGGTCGATCAGGTGCTGCTTCCGCAGCGCCCTGGTAAATGGAATACACCCCATCTAAACCAGGGCCCTCTATGTTTTAAGCAAACCAAATAAAAAGGACACCTATGGATACAGGAGTCTCCTTTTGGCCAACCCTCTTTTTGGTTGGCTTACAGGATGCTCAGCAAGTCGGCCAGGGCTCGTCAGTCAGCTGCTCATCCATGATCTTGTCGAACTCATCATCTGCCACCTGCTCCTGGGTTCTACGGTGTGCCCCTTAAGCCCACCAGACAGTGGCAAACAAACACGGGTCCTCACTTGCAACCTAGCCTTGCAGGAGCTAACATCGTACTTTTACCACAGGGCCTCTTTTGAGGAAAGATGCTTTCCAGCCCCCCCCCCAAGCAGGTTCCATGTTGGTGGTTGGTGGGAGTTAGGAGGGTAACTCCAACTCCTCATCCCTTTCCACAAGACTCGCAGGCCTGCGCGACCTCAGGCTGCACGGATCCCGTCAGGGCCATCTGCGAGATGGCAGACTGCCTGGCGACTGGCGCGCCAGCACCCGGCCAATTTCATCCTGCAAACCTAGGGGAACACCCCCCCCCCCAGCCCCCACCCAAACGAATGCGCTTAACGAATCCTAAGCAAAGTATCCCTCTGAAATGGGCCCGCTCCATGTCAAGCTTCCAGCGCTTCGTCCTCCCCTGCCGCCTCTTTTTTGTGGACGGCCTCGGCTCATCCTGCAGGGCACGCAGATCATGGGAGTCGCCAAAATCTTGGAAGACCATCTGAGTCATAATCAAACCCCGGTATTACAATGCAACTCAGAACCATGCTTCAAGAATTAAAAGGCGGATATCCGCAACTATTTCTGGCTGGGACTGTCCCTTACCTAACCTTCATCTTCCCGAATCGGTTTTGAGCACGTGGCTCATCTCAAGAAGGTCTTCTTTGGAAGTCCCCCCGCCCCCTCTCCCGGCCTCCTTGGCGGCAGGCCTTGGCGTGAAGTTGCGCGAGAAAACCAGGAAATCCGTTGGCTGGAATCCACGCTGTTGAAAACGGGGAGCACACCCTGGAGTGAAGCTCAAAAAGGTGGTGACCTCCTGCTGATTGACCAAACCCCACAAAAAAATTAAATTGAAAAAAGCCCTTGTGTCAAGGACTCTTTGTGGACCTCTTTTTAGGTTCGGTGTTCATTGGCCGAGTATGACTCGCCTTTGCCTCACGGCAAAGGAGCCCTCAGCTCGCGACTCCGCAGTTTTCAGCACCTGGGTCACTCACAAGGCGTGACAACTCTGCCGGTGGCTTCATGCGAGAGGCAAAATCTGCTTCCCTCGTTGTTTGGTGGAGCCCGGTGGCTTGGTGGTTAAGCGGTGGTTCCCCATCAACCCTCTACCAAGAATCTGGCAGAAAAATGGTGAACCCAGGACCATGCTTCAAGAATTGCAAAGGCGAAATGACAAATCCGCGCCCATGCCTGGCGAGATAATTGTCCCTTACCCTCCAAGTGTCCGGGTTTTGAGCATGTGACTCACCTTGGCGCCTTTCCGGACATGCTATTTCGGACATTCAATGTCGGACCAAGCGGCCCAGGTCTGGCAGGCTCCCTTGCCCTTCATGGTCACGATGCCGCCGTTCTCCCTCTGACTGTTGTCTTGCACCTCGCAAGCCAAACTGGACAAAATTTTGTACCAGGCTCGAGGAGATGAACTCAAAAAAAGGGGAACTGGTTCAATCAACAGCTGTACTGAAAAGCGAGCCCTGAGTACCAGGAAACGTGGGCCTTTTGCTGGTTTCACCCCAAATTCCGCGAGCTTGCCAAATCCGCGATCGCCGGCAAAGGCCACCCAGAGGGCACACCCCTGTCATTTCACTGCGCGTCAATGGTCCGACTCAGATCTCAGGCTGCTCCAGACATGGCATTCAACCGTGAATCAGACCCGGGGCTCTCAAAGGGTCCCTCTGAAAAATCGCCCCGAAACTTTGCCACCCCGAACTCCGGACAGCGTGCGGTGCATGCCTGATCATCATCGACCTGAAGCCGGCGAGAGCTCGAAAGCTCAAGGCTCAAGTCCAAATGAGATGCAACCCTGCCATAGTCGTCTCCCTCGAGTGGATTGCCCGAAGCAAAAGAAACTGGACTCGTTGTTTGCCAAAAACAAGGTCCCACAAAGCTTGAAGCCCACTACCAAGGTCATTGCTTTGATCGAAACCCACTTCCGGGCTCCAAACCCCCAAATGGCAAATCAACTTCGACAGGAGTCAGATCTGCGGCAGACTGCGGCAGACTGGTCAAAGCGGTTCGCCGAGCGGCATAGTTCTTTGTCGCCTGCCCAAACTGCACGGTTCCCGGCTCACCTGACGGGTGCGCTCGAGCGCAAGGTGCTAGCGCCCTACATGCCCCAAACTTCCCAAACCCAAAGCTTTGCCTATTCAGCTTCCCACACTCATGGGTGGTTTGGAGTTAAGGAGGGGTTTCCCATCAAACGCCAAGCAATCCAAACCACCAACGAACGGTTACCAACTGCCGGGCTCTTTACGGAAAACGGCCATCTCAAGAAAACAGAGCTGATGCCCCCCCCCCAGTTCAATGAAGGCGCGATGGTGGTTTTCTCTTGACCTGCAAGCCGTCGGCTTCAACATGGACGCCTATCCGCTCCACTTTGCTGACGGCTACGTTTTCTTTCTGAAGAACCGCTTAAAAACCTGAGACAGCAGACACCTGTGAATGATGGAAGCCGTTCCTGCCTTTCTGCATCATCCGAGCCTCGGATTAGGGTAATCCGATTGTCTCAGCTTGTTGCCCTGTCAAAATCATGTCTTCGATTTTGAAACCTATGAGAGAAACAAAACCAATATGGAAAAATGGGTGTGCCAAATTTGAGGGGGTCCAAGGAATGGCTTCGGCTTTCCTGCTGGCTTCCCTCTAAACCCAAACCATGAGAGAAACGGAAAAGCCGTATGGCCCCGCGAATGCCACTTGTTGGGCAAAGCAACCCCTCGCGGGATGCTGAGAGTGCCCCTTCGCAAGGGCGGGGGGATCACTTTGGTCGCAGTTTTTGGATCACTTTGGTCGCAGCTGAAATCCACTCACTTTGGTCGTAGTTTGAGCATTTGCGGATCACTTCTGTCGCAATTTTTGGATCACTTCAGGCGCAGTGGAAGATAGCTTTTTGAGCACTGACAACAGGACACACGCAAAGGGTGTTGCCTCTCAATCACCTAACAACAAGACATGCCGCGTGGGGTGGGGTCGACAAGGATGTTGCCTCTCAAACACCTAACAACAAGAACTGCCGGGTGGGGTGGGGTCGACAAGGATGTTGCCTCTCAAACACCTAACAGCATGACATGCCGGGCGGGGTGGAGTCGACAAGGATGTTGCCTCTCAAACACCTAACAACAAGACATGCCGCGTGGGGTGGGGTCGACAAGGATGTTGCCTCTCAAACACCTAACAACAAGACATGCCGGGCGGGGTGGGGTCGACAAGGATGTTGCCTCTCAAACACCTAACAACAAGACATGCCGGGCGGGGTGGGGTCGACAAGGATGTTGCCTCTCAAACACCTAACAACAAGACATGCCGGGTGGGGTGGGGTCGACAAGGATGTTGCCTCTCAAACACCATAGTCAACGGCGAAGAAACTAGGACCGAAGCGAGTAAGGAAACTAGGACCGAAGCGAGATGAAAACTAGGACCGAAGCGAGCCAGCAACTAGGACCGAAGCGAACCCGCGACCTTCGCAAGCCTGTGCGGCCCTTAGTCTCAAGGTGTAAGGTCAGAAGCGAGCAACTGATTGCCCAGAGCCAAACATCTTAAAAATGTCCCAACGTGCTTCTTTGTGGCTTTTCGGGCGGGGGAACGTGTTATTATTATGTTTTTTGTTCCGGGGGGAGTGGGAACTTCACGTTGAGGGACATCAAGGACTACACCAAAGCGAGTGCTTCATTTGTCAAAAAAAAAGAAAGAAGAGAGAACAATACAGCTACACATGCTCCTAGGGTCGCCTTCTTGCCTTTGTCCAAACATTCGCCCGCCTTCACCGGGCCGGCTCCTCGAGCA